ATAGAGATAGTATACAAATTACCTTGATTAATCTAGACATTAACTCGTAGTTTAATAGCGTTATATTAATACTGTATAACATTGTTTTATACTGTATTGTATGATATTTTATTTGAATATGTATTTACCATTGCTTTTATATTAGAGTAGTTTCTACATAAAGCGTATGTATTTATATCATTTTTAATTGATATTACAGTCATTATAATTAAAATTAATTGAGGTTTACTTATACTAAAATAAAACTATTAAATCAACATAGACTTAGTTTAAATAATTAGATAAATTCTTGTTGACACGCTATTGTTTTACAAAATACTATATATCACCTTTATTGATTTTGTGAGTAGTATTTATTTAATATAATTTGATATAATATATGATTGGCCCAATTCTGAAACGGTTGTTGTGTCTGTGAAAGCAATCTGTAAACTGAAGTATTTCTCTTCATATTATAATATACCACAACTTGATTGCTATACATTATTATGTGAAATACTTAAGTTTACAGTTTGTTTTCACAGACTCAACGAGCGTTTCAGCTCGTTGTGTCTCATATAGTATATATCGTAATTGGTGGCTATTATGCAAAAGGACATTTATTTTGCACTGCAAACTGTATACATAATCTAATCAATGCATATTTTAATAATACCACATAATGTTTCTTATTTATGTAAAGCATTGATTAGGTTATGTATACAGTTTGCAGTGCAAAATAAATGTCCTTCTTTTGCATGTTGTGCACCAATTATAAGTAATCTTTATGTCCGTTATATACCGTACAACACTAGGCTTAAGTTTATTATATTAATTTGGTTTTGTGTACTGTGTAGTTTTATAAAAATTATGTAATAAATTAAATGAAATTCAGTTATCATTTAGTTATACACGTGTTGCCTATTTAGTAATTTTTGAGTAATTATTGTAAATTAAAAAATATAATTTTATTAATAAGACATTAACAAAATTTTAGATAAATAAAAATTATAATTTTATTTAATTTAAAATAACAATCTTGTATAGAAAAAATTTTAATATTAATTAATAATTATAGTCTCAATCAGTACGTACTAAGTGGGATGACCGCATTTGGTTAGCCATTATAGGCCACCATAAAGTCGGTGACAATAACTTTAAGTTTAGCCTCATTTTCATGACTTATGATACCATCGGTTGCGATAGTAATCAACAGGTCTTTGTGGACAGTCTGCAAGTGATTGACAAAATCAATGTCAAATTGCGCCAATTGAGCAGGGTGCACTTGATCCACGTAAGGTCTTATTGTGGCCAGTATAATTGCAATTGTATCCATGGCAGACATTGCAATGTAGAAACCTTGTTAAAAAATTATAAAATTTAACAAAAATTATAAATAATAGTAAAAATTAATATTTTTTGTAATTTACCTGAATTAATGAAAAAAATACAAATAATTATTTTTAAGTATATTAATGTAGGTATGAAAACTTTTAATATTTATGTTGAATGTTGCAGGACTATTTATACCCAAAATCAATGTAACTTTTGTTACATATTAAAAGTGCTATATTATATAAACTTACAAAATTTTCCCAGGGCTCATTTTAAAGTTATTTATGTCTCAACTAGTTTGAGCTAGTTTAGATTAAACATTAATTATGAATTATGTAATAGTTTTGTAAGTATTGTATATTATTCTCATAAATCTGTCAAGTAATATATCATAGATAAGTTTGTTCATTTATTGTATTATACTTATTTTAAGTACTTTTTAATATACAATTTATATGACATAATTAAAATAATTTAAATCAATATTAATTGAAGGGATTGAATTTGAATTGTATTTAAAAATTATTGTATTCAACAATATTGTAGGGAATCAACTAGCCACACAATCATATACACAAAACTCATCATGCTCATAATAACTAGCTCCCATGTGTGATTAGCTTTAATATTGTATACCCACTGACACACATAAAAGGCATGTAAACCAAACATAATATGAATAAGTGAGCATTCTCGTTTTTAAATTATCATGATCATTATGGGTCCAGTAAATTATGATAACCCCACAATTTCCAACGTGTTTAAGATTAATAATATGTAATATCGACACTGGTTAGTGTGCTCAAAAAAGCTAATATTTTTGGACACGTGTATCTCCATAGGTGATTTACGTGGCACCTGCATTAAATAGTGATAATATTTATAATAGAATTATAATAATATTTTTTAGAGACTTTCTATTTAATTAAATGTAAAATATTTTATGTATAATAAATAAAATAAAATTATCATGATACAGTAAAGTGAAAATTCCTATTCATTATACTTGTATTAAAAACTGTAACAAAGTACGTCAAAATATATATTAATTATATAAATATAAATTAACGTAAATAAGCATGTGATCCGAAATGTCCATAAGATTAGCATTATCATGCTATTAGGTGGGGTGAGGGCTAATCAATTATTGTCCTAACATTTACATACAAATAGGACTTTAATGGACAGTAAATGATCACGCTTATATTTTTGCATATAAGGTTATGTAGTACATAGTCATAGTACATACTTTTTAATTATAAATTCCCATGGTAACATTATTGGACATAATGTGAGCAGTATTTATATCGTAATTGTGATTGTCAGCAAATAATATTAGGCTATAATATGAGCGACTAATTAAAATAATTTAGTTTAGAGAAAATATTCATAAAAAACGTAAGTAATGACCAAAATTATGCTTGGATAGACAAATTTTAACGCCTTATTTAATAAATATTTCAAAAACTCTTACCCACAATTTATTGGCTGACATTGCTACACGGTCTGACCATACTTTTATGATCAGGTTATTATAAAAATCATTGTTACCGACGTCACACAAAAAATCTCTTCCGATGCTTTTATAGCTTTCATCTGCTTACCAATGATCAGGGTGTTTATGTAATCATTCATGGTGTAATTAGACATAAACACCCTGACCATTTGTGAGCAGATGGCTTTATTGGATTGAAATATTTGGATATTAATCGGGTTTTATTAAGCATAATATATATGGCCGGCAGTGTTAACATGGACTCCATTTCGTACTTAACATTAGTAGTGGTTTCGTACGATAAGTACAAAACTAAAATTCTAGTAAATCTAATAAGTAGCATATTATTGTCCTTAATGTGCACGGTAGTTGGAGTACTATCATCGTCATTTAATATTAAATCACTGCTTGACTCCATATATATAATTGGACAACGTTGTCAATGTTGAATAAACTGTAATTCTTAATTACCATTGTAACAATAGTGGACATAACGTTAGCAGGATTTATATTGTAATTGTGCTTGCCGGCAAATAATATTAGGCTATAATATGAACCATTAATTCTTATAATTTAGATTAGGGAAAATAATCATTAATAAAGTATGTGCAATCACCAAAATTATACTTGATATCTGATGTTAGAAAGCAAATTGAGGTTTATATATAGGCTAAAAATACTTTTACTTTACTCGAAAGCAATGACAAATATTTAAATTTTTAGCCTATATATTAACCTCAATTTGCTTTCTAACATCAGATATAAACATAATATATTATAAACATGTTTATGCACTATTTAATAAATATTTCAAAAAATCTTACCTGTAATATATTGGCTGACATTGCTACACCTTTTAAGCATGCCATACGAAATATTATCATTATTATAGACATAGCAATAAAAAATATCTTCCGGTGCTCTCATGGCTCTCATTTGCTCGCCAATGGTCAGAGTGTTTATGTAATCATCCAGGGTATCATTAGACATTGCATGCAGATTGAAATCTTTGGATATTAATCGGGTTTTATTAAACATAATAGTTACCGCGGGCAGTGTTACCATTGACTCCATTTCATACTTAACATTAGTAGTGGTTTCGTGCGATAAGTACAAATAACTTAATGTATACAGGTGATAAATGCACCCTATTGCAATTAATACACGACACACGTGTTTGTAGATACTGTTTAAATTAATAGAAATTTTAATTTATTTCTCTCTCAAAATATTATAACAATATATTCAAATAAACTTGATTTTTGCTCTCAATTTTAGACTCAAACTATTCTGGTTTACAGTATAAGTGATATTAATATAAATAAAATATAGTTAAATATAAATATTTCATTCAATTTGTGCATTTACATAAAAGCAAGCGTTTAATATAAACAATATTTTATTTCACTAACATATAACATTATAATTGTTTTTTATATAAAAAAAACTCTAATATATTAATATATGTAGCATAATAAACTAGTTAACAATAGCTGAATAAAGTAATTATAAATAGGATAAAATCATTTTTACTATTAACATTTAGACATTTGTCAATCTTATTACAATAATGATCTTGTTTACAGTTTACAAGCTATTACATTATAACATTATAATGTGTGGCAATAATTTTTGATACATTTTAGTGGGATTGACTTTAAATCCCAGACCCAGTCCCTGAACTGTAAAATTTATGTAAAATTATAATTTAAATTATAAATTAAAATAATACATTTTTATTAATTTTTGGGTCATTTCAGCACTTAATGTTCAAAGTATTGGTTGAATTGTACTAATAATAGATGAACTGATACTATGAGATAATAATAACACACTAAAAATGCGCCACAAATTAGTGGTGTGTATATAAACACGAATTAAACTATTGTGCTATAGTTAATTACTTATAATATATCAATGTACTAAACAAGTTCATTTTGATTTCCAAAATAAACTATTAGTATTTGCTATCAATTTATCTAAAAATTGCATCATTTCAAGCGCACTGTTGGCTTTGACTTCTTCGCCCCGACGCGCCCCGGTGTTTTTCGCGCCCCGCAAAGAGAGAGAGAGCTAATTATATATTTAATTATTATTAAATATTAAATTATTATTAATTTTTTATAAAGTATATAATGTAGTTTAAAGTAAATACAGTTAATAATTTACTAATTATAATTGTAAACCCATAATAATAGCTCTCTCTCCCAATTTCTACCAATTTTATGGTTTTGATTGGGAGAGAGAGCTATTATTATGGGTTTACANTTTAATAATAATTTAATATATAATTAGCTCTCTCTCTTTGCGGGGCGCGAAAAACACCGGGGCGGGGCGGGGCGAAGAAGTCAAATCCCGCACTGTTCAAGGTATTCATTGTATTGCACCAACAAATGATGACATAATTACAAGTATTATAAAAACTTTTGAAGGTTGTCTACACTTAAAATGCACTAGTTCATACAGGTTTTGTATATAAGAAGATTTTTAACTATTTTTTGTGTTACAGTATTAGAAGTTGTGAGAATTATATATCAGGGTTACCTTATCAAGATAGTTTTACAATGAAAATAGTATTATTATCATTGGCGTTGATTTCAATAGTTTGCGCTGATTTTGATATCAAAGACTATAAAGATGTGATAAACTCACGAAACTTTACGGGAAAAGTAGTTTTGGTGACCGGGAGTAGCTCTGGAATCGGGGAGGGAATCACAAAACTGTTCTCTATATTAGGGGCCAATGTTGTGGTCACCGGTAGGCGAAAAGCGGATGTCCAGAGAGTGGCCAAAGAGGTGCGGGAGTTATCGCCAAAGAAACTAAAGGTTTGTTTAGAAACCGGTTATCAAACGGAAGTGTAATATCTGAGAGGATAATCCCAATAGTGTATCAGAAAAAGCTTTAATCTTAATCTTCCATAATATTGAAAGATAAAGATTAAAGTTTTTCTGATACACTATTGGCATTCCCCTCACAGATATAATATTAATTTTGCATTTATATACTGAACAGCCATTAGAAGTGGTCGGAGATCTCACCAAAAGTGATTTCATACCGACACTGATCGGCAATACTATCAAAACATTTGGCAAATTAGATGTATTGGTGAACAACGCGGGTATCATAACGACAGCAAACATCACCCAAAAAGACTTAATGCGTGTCTGGGATCAGGTCTTCAACATAAACCTGAGGGCAGTCGTCGAACTGATCCACGAATCGGTTCCGCATTTGGAGATCACTAACGGAACGATCATTGATATGTCGAGTTTGGCCGGAATAGCGCCGGTATTTATTGAAACATTGAATTTATTTAGTGTATATATATATATAATCTAGTACAATTCAAATATCATCTAATAGTTTGCCCAAACACTGGCCTACGGGCCCGCAAAAGCCGGTTTAGATATGATTACTAGAGTATTGGCCCTCGAATTGGGACCCAAAGGCATTCGTGTCAATAGTATAAAGTAATTATTTTTATTATTAGCATGGTATGAAAATGTATTGACACATTATAAATATTTTTTGTAATAGTCCCGGGTGTATACAAACAACTGACATACCGAACCCAATATATGATACAGCAAAGACGGTGACACCACTGAAACGATTGGGACAACCATTAGATATCGCCAAAGGGGTGGTATTCCTCGCCTCAAGTGATGCCTCATTCATAACCGGCGCTAATCTGGTGGTCGACGGCGGACTCGTCTATAATATGGGTGTATTTAATACGGTAAGCATGTGGATGTGAGTATCAGCACCGGTAGATTCGCGTATGTTAGTTATTTAGCTTGATCAATTCGCATTAAATTACAACAATAAAGTTTAAAAGCAAACACATATTTTATTAATCACAAATATTCAAAAATAAAGTATACAATATTTTTTATATATCATGCAATTATTTTAAATATATAATTAAATGAATGGTCCTTTTACAATTTGTTATAATTTTATATTTACCAGTAATTTGTATTTATAGTTACTAGTAAAATAAATCTAACAATTTAAAATAATCGCAATATACAATAAATTTTTCAGGTTATTCTATTTACCCTGATCACTATTTTGATTCATTTAATTAGAATCCTTATCCCATTTTTGAAACAACTCGTTACCGGCATCTATCATCTCATTAAAATGACGTTGAGCAATATTTGCCCGTAGTGTAACAAATGCCCATAGGAGCATTATGCCAGATGTTATCAGGGTGCTAATAAACTCACCGTACACCTGATCTACTGTAATATCATACTTGCATTTATAAAGTGACCTACATGAGAATATAATAAACACAAATAAACTATAGCTGGCACTTCTCACTGGTGATATATAATTGTTATTTAGGTAGCAAAAACATTTAATGTACACCATGATTTCCAAAGTATTCAGGGTAATTATAACACGTAATTGTCCACGCACAGAGTTTGTAGAGTTGGTAGTAGTTTCAGATAAATATTTGTCCACTGGTGATTTTGGTGGCCAAAATAAAAAGATAATTATAATGAGTATAATGAACACTTTGCCTACTTTAGACATATTTCTATAAGTTAGTTAGAATTATATTAATATAATAAAGTCATATTTAAGGCTGTTGTTGTCTATTTAGATCTATACTTACATGTTAAATATATTTTATATTATATAAGTCTATATTTATTCTGCTACTTACAATCATTAAAACTTATATCATTGTAATTATTGTGTTTATACATTAACGCAAATAGAAATTGAATCATACTCAGTAAATTGATTTAGATATTATGCTATTGTATTGCTTTCATTATTTTATTATATAATTATATTATTCACGCAATTATTATAGTTATATCTGAACTAGTATTTCATAATAAAGTTCTAATTATTTCTGAAAATAATAAAAAGTATCGGAAACATTAATTATGTTATTTTATAAATTGTTTGCAATGATAAATACATAACAATTTTAAAATAAAATTTTCCACTAGAATTTCGTCCAATGAAAAAATTATAAAATTTATTACATATTTAAAATTGTTTTTAAAATATAATTACAGCTTCATTATTAAATAAATATTTTTATTTAAGCTTATTTTATACAATAATAAGCAAAGATAAAACATATTTCAGTGAAAATATATTACGATGTGTACGCTCTGAATGAATGACCCCTTTACTGCTCATTTCCAAAAGTGGTTATAAAATAAATTATATTTTTTTAAGTCTCACGTCGTTTTCATCATTACTAAATCTAATAAAAATTATACATATTTTAGATAATCTATGTGTTTTGCTATTATATAACGCATAATGAGTTAATTTTTACTTATTTTCCTCCAATTGTCTTTATTATAATAAATCATTAAAATATCTTATCTTATCACATTATTTGAATCTAATTTAAGTAGTTTATTTATTTTTAAAAATTATAAAATATCGTTAATAGTCGACTATCCAAAATAAATTTATTTATTTAACATTTAATATTATAATAATGATATATTTCATTTTACAGCTTAATTATCTATAAATATGTAACATGTATTATGTTTTATATTTTGATGTTTTATGATTCCCTGTAATTAAAAATAACAATTAAATCAATTTAATTAGTATTTTAATAAAAACGGAACCGTCACCATGTCCAAAAGCAGTTTATTTATTTGGTTGTTATTAAAATAATAATATATTTAATTTCACAACATAAATTACAATTAATAAATACAGTATAAAATATAGTTAATGATTTTTAAAATTTTTTAAATAACGCAACTAGATTGATATGTTTTTATTTTAAATTATTATTAGTAAAATTAGTTAGCAAAAGTATAAAGTTACAACTTGTTTGTGGACCATGTAACAAGTACCTCGGTGACATTGATATACTCTTAATAATAATAAATTTCATTACAGCTATTAAGCTTAACAATTTTATAACTAATGATAATAAATAAAAAAAATTTACCAGTAGGTTATATAAAGTGCAATCATCTATGTATATAATTTATAATAATACAAAAAGTTAACAATATTTAGAGCTAATTCTCGTATTGCACGTAAACAATAGTAATTATATCAACAGGTATAAACTTGAATTTTATTACTTGTTATGTATTATATTATAATTGTTTACGTAAATTGCATTATGTGATATCATCAAGCACCCCGCCTACCACATTGTCCAATTAGCTCACGTTGCTCAAACAATATTAATCAGTATTGCTATTAAATTATTACATTTATGAATCTTATCGCAATTAAATGATACAGTAACATTAGTACGCATAATATGCTGTAGTTATTTGGTACAACGGTAAAGATACAAACTCGTCAAGGTAGATAAAAATTAAATTTATAAAATGATTTTTATACTAAATAATAAAAATATTTATATAATAATTTTACTAATTAAATAATAATTGTTAAGATAAATCGTATTTTAATTTTTAAAAATTAGTTTACCGCCATTATTTTTAAAACATTAATATAATAACCTGGCTATAGACCAGAATAATGACATCAATTATGATATTAAATAGTATTTACACAAAAAATACATATAATTTCATTGTATGAAATGTTTATATTGCTTTCACTGATAATTAATTATACATGTCTACTTAACGTGTTAAAAATAAACAAGGGTAAGGGGTGGGCAGCCAAGTGATTTTATAGGGTAGGTCTCATAGGTGCAAGAGTCATACGATAAGACATACATTTCCATACGTCGGGGGTCTATTCAACTGACAGCCCGTTGTGTTCAGACAATGAATATTACTTTTACTACGAAAAAATTGCAAACATTTAAACACTTTTCTACACTGAATCTCATCATTAAATTTAATATTCTTTGTAAATAAGATAAAATCTCTGGAGACTAGCTCTTCGGCTATAAGTCTTTTAGCAAAGTTATTGTCTCTAAAATAGTGCCGCAAATGGTTTGATATATGAATGGCATGAATATGACAATCAATAAGAATAATAGCGATTCGAGCGACACGTTAGACGCCAGTAGTCGCCAAAACGACAGCCCCGTTGCGACCGATATGGCGACCCCGCGCTGTCCCGACCCTAAGGTCCAAACGGGAGTGAATGGTACGGACAGAGCGAAACGAATAGCCATTACTGTGGCGAAGATTACGGCACTTCTGGCCCTCTTATACCTCTTCATCTGTTCGCTCGACTTCTTGAGCTCAGCGTTTCGTTTGGTCGGCGGACGGGCCGCCGGACGGATCATATCGGACAGCGATCTGCTGAGGAATCCGGTGGTGGGGCTCGTGATCGGCGTTCTCGTCACAGTACTCGTGCAGTCGTCGTCCACCTCCACGTCCATCGTCGTCACAATGGTTGGCTCGCATTGTAAGTGAATCTCGTTTTTTCAATATAATGATAATCGTTTAACATTGAAAACTTAGTAATGTAGACCACAAGCTGTAAATTAGGAGCTTGCACATTCAATGTATATGAGTAAGCTGCTAACTTAAAAACTTTTGGTCTACATTACTTAGTTTTCATTATTAAACGATTGTAATTATATTTAAAAAATCTGTCTCATTAATAATGACACGAACTTTTTCAGTAATCAAAGTACGGGAGGCCATACCTATAGTTATGGGCGCCAACATCGGCACGTCCGTCACCAACACCATTGTGGCGCTCATGCAGTCGACCGACCGAAACGAGTTTCGTCTGGCTTTCGGCGCCGCCACTGTTCACGATATGTTCAATTGGCTCACAGTTATAGTCCTGTTGCCCATCGAAGTGACCACTCATTACTTGGAGACTATCACCGAAGCCCTCATGACAGGCGACTGGCAAACGGACACCTCGGCCAATAAGGAGTTCCTTGGTCACATAACCAAACCGTTCACTAAGCTCATAATTGAGCTTGATAAGAAAGTGTTGGATGAAATAGCGAGTGGTCAGGAGTCGGCGAACGCCACGCAATCGCTCATTAAAAAAGGCAATTCACTGTTTTATAAGCTGGGTATGAGTGACACGATCACCGGGGTTGTATTACTGGTCCTATCGTTGGTGGTTCTGTGCGGTTGTCTCGTATTAATGGTTAAAGTGCTTAACTCTATGCTTAAGTGAGTTGAAGGTATTTCTAACGAAATACATTTAAAAAGGGACTCACTCAAATAGCCCAAAACCGAGAATGCCTAAACTCAAATAACTAACTGACCAATGGTTATTTGACTTAATTTAGGTTAAGATAGGTAGGGCTAGGTCAAGACATATCTATTCTGCTTATCAGATTTAAAATATGTTCACTGGTCAGTTAGTTATTTGAGTTTAGGTATTTTCGGTTTTAGGCCTTTTGGGATAGAGCCAAAAAATGCGTTTAAATGGATGGAAATTAAAATAAAGTTGAATTATGTTTTTAGGGGTCACATAGCAATCGTCATAAAGAAGACAATGAATAGAGACTACCGGTTCCCGTACTCAATATTAGTCAGCTATTTAGCAATACTTATCGGATGTATACTCACTATATTAGTGCAAAGTAGTTCAATATTCAC